TTCTTAGAGAACATAAGAAGTCAAGATTAATTTATATTTAACAATTAATATTTTAGTATATTAACTTACAAATGAACCACTTTTCTTTTTTTTTTTAATTTTTTTGAGACAGTCTCGCTAAGTTACTTAGGGCCTCACTAAATTGCTGAGGCTGGCTTTAAATCCATGATCCTCCTGCCTCAGCCTTCTGAGCTGCTGGGATTACAAGTGTGCTCCATCATGTCAGGCAAAGAGACTGTTTTTATTAAGTTCTATAAAATTATATATATATATTTTTTTGGGGGGGTGGGAGGGGTACCAGGGATTGAACCCAGGGGTGTTTAATTACTGAGGCTGGCTTTGATCTTGCAATCCTTCTGTTTCTGTCTCAGTCTCTGGAGTCACTGGGATTACATGCGTGCACCACCATGCCTAGTAAAATGATACAACTTTTAAAGCACATATAATCTATATTAAAAAATAAACCATAAGCAGGGCACAGTGCGCACACCTATAATCCCAGCAGCTCAGGAGGCTGAGGCAGGGGATCACAAGTTCAAAGCCAGCCTCAGCAACAGTGAGACGTTAAGCAACTCAGTGAGATCCTTTCTAAATAAAATATAAAATAAAAATGGGGATATGGCTCAGTAGTTGAGTACCCCCAAGTTCAATCCCTAATATCCCTTTCCCCCAAAATAAATAAAATACAAAAGGGGGCAGGGGCTATGCCTCAGTGGTTGAAGAGTACCCCTGAGTTCAATCCCCAGTATCAATAATAGTAGTAGTAAACCACAAATTGGATGTGGTGGCACATGTCTGTAAATCCCAGCTACTCAGGAGGCAGGAAGATTACTTGAGTAATTTAGCAAGACCCTGTCTCAATCAAAAGAAAATTTTAAAAAGGGCTGGGAACTTAGCTCAGACATAAGGCACTTGCCTAGCACATGTGACTATGGGTTCAATTCCCAGTATCACAAGAATGAAATAATAAGCTGGGTGTGGTGGCATATCAGTTGGAAGGTTGCAGAGAGTCCAAGAGATTTTGGTGTGTGTGGATTGAACCCAATAGCACTTTACCACTGAATCATACCCCTAACCCTTGTGAGAACAGGGTCTAGCTAACTTGTGTAGGCCACCTTTGAATTTGGGATCCTCCTGCCTTAGGCTCCCAGGTCCTTGGGATTACAGGTATGCACTACCACACCCAGCTCTGCTCATGAATTTTGAGATCAGACTGGGCCACTGACAGGTATCCATCCCTTGAAGATTATTTTTCAAAATAGATGGGGCTGGGAATATAGCTCAGTTGGTAGGTAGAGTGCTTGCCGCTTGCCTTGCATACACAAGGCCCTGGGTTCAATCCTTAGCACCAAAAAAAAAAAAAAAAAAAAAAGGAAAAAGAAAGAAAAAAAAGGCACATGGAAATGCTTTAAAAATAGTTTTTCTTTTACAGGGCCAGGGATTGAATCCAGGGCATTCTACCACTTTTACTTTTTGAGACAGGATCTCACTAAATTACTGAACTTACCCCAAACTTGTGATCCTACTGCCTGCCTCTCAGTGCTTGTGATCAAGTAACACAAAGTAATCTAGAGTTAGGTCACAATGCCTAGTCACTCACCTTCCTTCATATTATACAAGTACTATGTTTAGGTCATTGCATTAACACTTTATTCCAGCATGTTGTTATAATTGTCCTATTTTATTATTCATTATAATTCATCTCCTACTGTGCCAAATAATAAAGTTTTATCATAGGCATATATGTATAGAAATAAAACAGCATGTAAAAGGTTCAGAATTATCCAGGGTTTCAGGCATCCTCAAAGTGGGTTAGGAATGTATCTTCTGAGGATAAGGAGGGATTCCCATCAGGCATAATCTAAAAATATGAAAAAAAGTAGAGTAGAATAGTGGTTACCAGAGACAGGTGTGCTGCGAAAAGGGAGATATTGGTTAAAGGGAAAAGTGCCAGGAGTAAATTCTGATTAGCTACTACACAGCAAGATGACTAAAGTTAATATTGTATCTCAAAACTACTGAGAGTGGAATTGAAATATTCTTACCACAAAGAAATGACACGTTAATTAGTGCGATTCTGTCACTCAACAATGTATTCATGTATTGAAGTACATTATACACCACATATACTAGTATGTTTATATATACTTATTTGTAAACAAGTTTGTATATAATATAAAACATAATATTAAAAAAAAAAAATCACTGGTGGCCCACATCTGTAATCCCAGCAGCTTGGGAGGCTGAGGAAGAGGATCATGAGCTAAATGCCAGCCTCAGCAACCCAACAAATAAAATAAATAAAATATAATCTAAATAAAATATAAAAAGGGCTGGGGATGTGGGTCAGTTGTTAAGCCCCATGGGGTTCAACCCCTGGTATATTAAAAAAAAAAAATCACTATAGGGAAAAAAGTATCATTAGGGACAATATAAATGAAACCAAACTTTGATAAGACATGAGAAAGGGTTGACAGGAATGGTCCAAAAAGGAAATTGAAAAAAAAAAAAATCCAACCACCAGGCAACTCATAAAAAATAAACAAATCAAAGAAATGTACATATGGACAGGGGTGTAGCTCAGTGGCAGAGTGCTTACATGCCAGAGGCCCTGGGTTCAATCCCAGGTAACAAAACAACAAAAAATGTAAGGGTATTTAGCATTCTTATTTACTTTTTAAGTACTCAGTACATTTTCAAAAAGCAGTTTTGTAAAATATATATTCAAATATATAAAAGGTATACACACCTCAAATCTCATTTCTCCAAATTTATCTTCACACAACTACAAGGCAAATTACAGGACATAGCATCTTCACTAGACTATGAAGTATCTATAACCAGGAAACAGTTTAAAAAAGAAAGAAACTGGGGCTGGGGATGTGGCTCAAGTGGTAGATCACTCGCCTGGCATGCGTGCGGCCCGGGTTTGATCCTCAGCACCACATACAAATAAAGATGTTGTGTCCATCGAAAACTAGTGTACTGCCCATGAGCAAGACTGTATACAGTGTTTCCAAGTAGATTATCCAGATGGATGGTCACTAGAGTGGTTCAAAATATATTAACTACCATTACCACTACATAAGTATCCAATGTAATCCTCACAACATATTGAGATTTCAGTTCCCAAATCAAACACAACTTTGGCAGGGCTCTTTCTGAAAATCAAGTTTGACTGTTCCCGACTAATTAAAAGGAATGCATTTACCTCCTTTCCCCTGCATTGCTTTACATCTAGTGTATTATTCATTTTATTTAAAAAGCGTTAGAAACCCTATATCATGTAGTCATTTTTAATACTTCCAGCATTTGTTCTTATTGGCCAGAATTACAAATATTTGCTTTCAAACAAAGTGCTCCTCCTGGCTAGTTTTTGGTTTATGGTCTTAAGCTTATCAATACCTAAAATGTGTAGGATGTGAAAAATGTTTTACTTGCTCATTATTCTTAAGAGATGCGTGCCGATTGTGCCACTGGAGCTCCATGAGAGATATCTTTTTATTATAAGTTTATTTCTTAGCTTATGACAGTTAACCAATTTAAAGACATGAACACTTGGAATTAAAAATGTACATCTAATGCTACCAAAAAGGCAGTACACTGATGGATGCTTTCCAAACCTGTTTGTCTTCTTTGTGAACCTTTTAGGGAAAGTGAAATAGTTCTCATACCTAGGCACAAAATGATGGATATGTCAACACTACATGAGAACTCACAAAACTTGGAGATCTGTACCTGCAGCTAGCACTATCCAGGCTCTCAATGCTAAGTTATGACATTGGTTTCTTGAAAACATGGGGTTTTACCTACTGATCTGAACAATTTTTATTAGTGCTTAGAGTAATGCTGAAGTAAAAAGCTACTAAGTAATGCTAGGAACAAATGTACCTGTAGTCCCTAAATATTTGGATGGGTCACTTTCTTCATGTTCAGCATCCTTAAATTTGTTGCAGTGACAGACCTAACTAAAAGAATTTCTTAAAGGTTGAAATCTAAACTTGTTAAACTTACTGATTCAGTCTATAACTACCTTTTGCTTTTTCTGAATTTTTAATAACATCCAGACATGCCATTTGTCATTCTGTCTCGAGTTTCTGAGATGTACCTCTCCCCCGCCCCACTAGTACTAAGGATCGAACCCAAAGGCACTCTACCATTGAGCTACATTTCCTAGCCCTTCTAATTTTTTCTTTTTCTTATTTGTACTTTTTAGTTATACACGACAGTATATGCCACTGTGCCCAACTTATATTTGCCTCTTTTAACATCTATGTACATTATTAAGGATTAGGTAAACTAAATACTCTGATCCAAGTACTGTAGCACATGCCTGTAACCCAACTACTGAGAAGACTGACACATAATTATATGTTGGAGGTCTGGCTGGGTAACTTAGCAGGACCCCATTTCATAATAAAAAGGGCTAAGAATATAGCTCAGTGGTTAAAAAAAAAATTGATAACCAATAAAAATAAACAGTCCTTACTTCCTGGTCTCTTTTAGTTCTCCTGTACATATACAGCATCAACCACCAGGTTACAAGCTGCTCAATTAGTTTAAGGAGCCAGTGAAAGAATGAGATACATGGATGCCATCACTCTGCTCCTTTGGAATCATAATACTAAGCTAACAAACTTTCCTATAATAAAGTCAACAACAACAAGAAGATCAACACATAATAACCACTGAAACATACTAGTTTCTGGATTTTCGTTTTCTTCAGAGAAAGAAATACAAAACATACTTTTAGTTAAACAATGCTTTTATTGTTTGAGTACATACATAAATTTATGCCACCAGGGCAGAGGCTGTGGATGACTCACTGAAAAGGAAAAAAGGGAAGAGAAAATTAGGATTAATATTGGTCCTCAGTATCCATTCATAGACTCTCACTGCTAATGAGACTATTTCAAAACAGCTAAAATAAACCCAAATAAATAGACCAAACTGAGTTTCAAAATAAGCTCATTGTGCTCAAGCATAATGAATAACATTGCTCACTCAGACATCCAAGGAAGGAATGGCCAACATGAGGAAAAACCTTTCTGGTGGAAACTGCGAATGTTGGATAGCAATCATCATAGTGAGCAATTCATGCAAAAATCAAAACTACATTAAAAACCTGGGAGAAGTGTGAAATGGAATTACTATTCCTCTCAAAACAAGGGGGGACAAAGGACTTACTCATGGTCCAAAGCAAGAAGCCTGTAATCTATGGCCCTCTATTTGTCTTTATAAATATCTACCAACTGAGCTAAATTATATCCCCAGCTCTAAGAGCTAGAATCTTTATTATCAGGCTGATTCCAGTTAAGGAAGGATAGATACTTACTATTTCCAATTTGGGGGAAGGACCCGCTTGGTCTTATAATACCGAGCCAATCGGTGAATTCGGCTCTCTATCAGAATCAGGCGGAATTTAGCATCCTTATCCTAAAGATAAAATTCAATAAAAAAAAAAAAAAACCTAGTGCAAATAATTAATTTCACAAGGGAATGTAGAGCTGCCATGCACTTTCTTTAATGAAAAGTTATCCCAATATTCTTGTACTAAAATCACAGCTGGGCCACGTGTGGTGGCGCATGCCTGTAATCCCAACAATCCGGGAGGCTGAGGCAGGGAGATTCTAAATTCAAAGCAAACCCCAGCAACTTGGTAAGACCCTATCAAAATAATAAAAAGGACTGAGGACTTGGCTCAGTGGTTAAGCACCAATACCAAAATAAACATTAAAAAAAAAGTCCACCAATATTTTTTTTTTAAAGAGAGGAGAGGAGGAGGGAGAGAGAGGGAGAGGGAGGGAGGGAGGGAGGGAGGGGGGGAGAGAGAGAGAGAGATTGATTATTTATTTATTTTAGTTTTTTTTCGGCGGACACAACATCTCTGTATGTGGTGCTGAGGATCGAACCCGGGCCGCACGCATGCCAGGTGAGTGATCTAGCGCTTGAGCCACATCCCCAGCCCCTCCACCAATATTTTTGAGGGAGGGGGAAAAAATCTCTGGTAGATTTTTACTTAAAAGTAACTGTAATCCTGCCTAACTTTGTGTCCTAAGTCACCTTAAATAATTCAAATCAGATGCATACTCACCAAAGTAAGTTTGTATAAGCAAGTCTACTTAGTAACAGATTTTATTTACCCTCTTACCTTTCTATTCCTCTCAAGATGCTTTCGAACAGCAACTGCTTTCTTAATTAAATGATAGAGATCCTCAGGAAGATCAGGGGCAAGTCCTTTGGACTTCAGGATTCTTAAGATCTTATTGCCAGTCACAAAACGTACTTGTGCAACACCATGTGAATCCCTCAGTATCACACCTAAAAAGAGAATCACATGATTTAACTTCCAACAAACACCAAATGCTAAATGCACATTAGGATTAAGTTCAGAAGGCAAGTCACCTTCCTATCTCTAAGATGGGGTCTACTTTGATAAATCACAGAAACCAATATGAGAAAGCATGCAAAGATCATGCAGACATTCAAAGAAAGTTTGCCTAATACTAAGGGAAACCTTTCTGGTGGAAACTGCAAAATGTTGAAAGACCATCATCATAGTTGAGTTTGCTGGAATACAGCTGAACACACATATAAATCCATTTGTTTTTACAAACATCATTTCTTTAAAATCTTGTTACTTATGATCACTTAAATGTTCTTTTAGTATGTCATACTTCCACTAGATTATAATCTCTATAAAGTAAGATATTTTGCCTTTTTAATTTTCTCAGAACCCAACACAAGCAGGAAAATATTTGGCACTTGTAATGAGGTGTGTCAAACACAAGGTGTAGCCAGTTACAAGTTCTCTCTTTATAGTTATAAGATTTGGAGGGAGTTTTTTAGCTTCACCATGCCTCAGCTTCTGCAAGTGTAAAATAGAAAAAACTATTAACATTTACTTCAAAATACTGCCATCAGATTTTAACTTGAAAACTAACAAAAAGTAAAGCCAGAAAACCGGGTAAATTATTTTGAGGGCACTTATGAGGCATATTTGCGCAGGAACCTTTTTCTACAAGTCAAAAAAGGCCATAGAGTATGCATTAGACACGAACACACTCACCGATCTGTGAGGGAGTCAGACCCTTCTTAGCCAGTTTGTAAATCTGCTCCTTCACGTCGTCAGATGTCAACTTCAACCACTATTTATGCAACAAAAAACAGCCTTAGGATGAGAAACGAAGGATGGCGCCGAAGCACGATGGCCCCCTCCACCCTCAAGACTTGTGCACACGTCTCCACACCCCGGAGTCGCCTCCCTCGAGGAACGAATTCCACTCTCCTCCCCACCTTCTCCCCAGTCCCAGTGCTACTTACGGTGGGGACGCTGCGGCGATAGGGCAGAGCCGACTGGGACAGGCCCTTCCTGGGGAGAGAAGCACACGGGGTGAGGTGGCGGCCCGTGCCACAGCACCCCAGAATATCATCCCCTCAAACTGCAGCCCACCCTCTCTCCTCTCCCCTATCCCTGCGACCCAATTCCGCAATCCGACTCCAAGCCACGCGCTCACCCGGGAGCATGCATGCGACCCATGATGGCGGCAGTCAAGGATCAAAAAGAGAGTGAGGGTGGAAACGCCGCAGGAAATCACTCCGCACGCAGGAAGTGACCTCATACGTCCCCACTTCCTCGCAGGGAGAGAGCGTGTCTACGCTTCACAGCCACCGGCGGCGGCGTGACTACATATCCCAAAATGCATTTCGGCGTGCGCATGCGTCCGCATTTGAGACGCAGCCCAGAGACCATCGGAGTGAGACCTGTTTTGCAGCCAGAGCGGGAAATCGAGTAAATCAAAGTTCGGTGCTGCCAGCGCCCAACTCGTACACATTCAAATACTGGGCAGGAGTGGGGAGAACTTAGATAGAGCTGCAGGGCTCAGCCATAACAGAGGGTTCATTCCTTCACCAGCGCTCCTTTGCATCGTCCCTCTTCATTCCTTTAAAGGCTGCCCCATCTTTTCATTCAAGGGCACAATACTGTGAATTGTTATTCACATAACAATACTGTGTTATGAATGCTGGACTGGAATGGTTGGCAGCCGCCGCCCTGTCAAGTTCTTCCACTTCTTTAGATGCTGATCTAGTCTCGGGAGAGACCACTAACAGTAAAGGACCAAACCGAATATTCGAAGGACGAAGGTCCTCAGCAGCGCTCTTTTCCCTACGTCCGCCTGCAGGAAGCGTGGCTGGTGGAGAAGTGGGTTAGGCAAAGCCTTGCTGAGCGGCTTATCCAAGGGAGTGACAGCTTGGCGGGCAGGAATGAAAAGATTGCCAGATCCGGGAAGATGAACATGAAAATGAGGCCCTTGAACTTCTTGGGAAAAGCAGCTCTAAGGAAGTTTAGATCTTCCACCACTTAAGAAGTTCTAAGACTGAACCAGTGCTTGTACACAATGCGTTTAAAAAGTGGGCCAATGAAATAGCTTTGTTCAAAATAACAAAACCCAAACCATGATCCTGGAAATGAGGAAGCTTAGTTAAAAACAAATTCCTGTCGATAAGTTTAGTGATTAGTGAGAGGTTTAAAAATACTCTACGTGATTCTGGGCCCAGTGATGCGCTCTTGAAATCCCAGACTAAGGAGGCTGAGACAAGTTCAAGGCCAACTTCAGCAATTTAGCAACTTAGACTCTTTCCAAAAATAAAAGGGCTGGGGATGTAGCTCAGTGGTAAAGAGCCCCCTGGGTTAGATTCCGTACAAAAAAAAAAAAAAAAAATCTCTAGGTACTAAAAACGTCCACCCTGGCTATTTCAACCTATCCCTATTTGCTGAATATATATTTTTTCCCTCCAAAACATTAGGGACTTCAAACTGGATAAATTCTTTGGGTAATTTTTTTCCCTAGCAAAGATGTATTCCTATAATTCACCACATTTACATTTTTAGACTAAATAGATAGGTATCTCAAACTTGGCTCTAATTCTCAGTCCCTACCTCTAGCTACCACTCTATACTCCTTCCTTTCAGTACTTACTCCATTTGCTAAAAAAATATGTACACATTTTTTCCTCTCCTTTTTGTAAGATAATCATCTCAGCACATCACAAAAAATATATCATGAATCCATTCTCTTCCCTTCATTTCCACTAGAACCCTTTACCCTAGCAGCCTTCATTTCTGATCTGGCAACTAAATGCTGTTCTCACTGTGCTTTTACTAGTGTTCTTCCCTGCTTTAAACACAATCCATACTCAACGTAGCAGTGAGTGATCTTTTAATGTTGTAAATCAGATTTTTTTAAATGTCTTTTTATGTCTTAACACTTTCCACCCAATTCCAAACACTCCTTTCTAATCCTGCAAGGTAACATGTTTCTTTTAGAGCTTTTTCTCTTGCTGTTGCTACTGCCTAAATACTATTCTCCAAGATCACAAGTTTGGTTTTCAGATATTTGTAACAGTGTTTAACAGTTTATGCTTTGATTGTATCTCTTGCTGCTCTGTCACCGCAATTTATTTCTAAAATAGACATGTTTCTTTCTCTTCCTCTCCTCCTCCTCCTTAATGTCAGGGGAAACAGGATTATTTTCTTCCCCATCCTAGGCAGAGTTATCTCTCCCTGAGTATACACCAACCATAGGAATGAAGTAATTCAGATTTTGGGGATGGTACCAGAAGATCTCAGAAATGAGTATCTCCCAAATTAACAAGTGAATTACAACTTCCGACAGGGAACATATGGAATGTAGCTTTTGAGTCATGTCTTTAAAAGCCCCCTGTTCCTGCTGATGGGCAGAATCACATCCTTTGGGACAGGAGTCCCCAAGTGTTTCTCCTTTGCTAGAAAAGCAATAAGCTTTTTTCTTTTTTCTCAAAATAGTGTCCTCTTATTGGATTGGCATAGGGGACAAGGACCCACCTTTCAGTAACACCAGAAATTGAATGAATGTAAGGGCACTTAACCACTGAGCAATGTTCCTTTTTATTTTTTATTTTGAGACAGGATCTCACTAGGTTGCTTACAGCCTCACTAAATTGCTAAGGTAGGCTTTGAACCTGTGATCCTCCTGCCTCAGCCTTCCGAGTTGCTGGGATTACAGTTGTGGATCACTATGCCCATCCTTGAATTCATTTTTATATGTGGTATGAGGTAAAAGTCCTCCTCATTCTTTTGCATGTGGTCATTCAGTTGTCCCAGCACCACTTGCTGAAAAACCTTTTCTTTCCCCATTGAACGATGTTGGCAGTCTGTTCATTTCTTGGATCATCATGCAAAAATAATAGCTGTTTTTTTTTTCTTAAACCCTTTTAGTTGTAGATGGCACAATACCTTTACTTTATTTACTTATGTTTATGTGGTGCTGAGGATCGAACCCAGTGCCTCACTCATGCCATGCAAATGCTCTACCACTGAGCTATAGCCCCAGTCCCCAAAACAGCTGTTATTAAAACAAAGAATACAACCACCAAAATTTAATACTTCATAGAGAGAAGTAGTGAAATGGAAAAGAAGTTAGGTTAAATTATTGAGAATGTAGCATGTACCAACCAAAAAATTTGGGGAGGTGGGCTGGGATTGTGGCTCAGCAGTGGAGCGCTCGCCTAGCATGGGCGGGACTCGGGTTCAATCCTCAGCACCACATAAAAATAAAGGTATTGTGTTGTGTCCATCTACACCTAAATAATAAATATTAAAAAAAAAAGTGGGGAGGAAAAGGAGGAAGGGAGAGAGGAAGGAAGAGGGAAAAAAGAGAGGTTGGGGGAATATGGCAAGAAGTTACAACCACATGGAAGAGCGGCTCAGGAGGCTGAGGCAGGAGAATCACAAATTTGAGGCCAGCTTCAACATTTTAGGCTCTAAGCAATTTAGTGAGACCCTGTCTCAAAATAAAAAATAAAAAGAGCTGGGGATGTAACTCAGTGGTGTAAGTGCCCTTGGGTTCAATCCTTGGTACAAAAACAAACAAACAAAAAGACATGGAAGAGAATGGTAAGGTCTATCATACATTTATCAGAGTTCTAAAAACAAAGGAGAATTTTTAAAAAAAACATTTAAAAATTTCAATGATAGATGATACTACCAAATATACAGAATTGAGGAAAATTACTGATCCACAGATTTAAGTATCCCAAATAAAATAAAAAGGTTTCTACTCCTAGGCACATGTTTAGTTAATATAGATCAAACAAGGTTAGTGCTAATAATTGTTGAAGCTGTGTGATGAATTGATTCATGGAATTTATTATACTCTTGTCTACTTTTGTATATATTTAAAGTGTATATAATAAACTTACCCCAAGGTCAATGAACCATGGCCTCATGCTGAAATTCCAGGATGAAGGTATAGGAATAGAATTCACATTTTTCAATTCTGTAGATATATCTAGAATGTGACTGTTTACTTGGCTACTTAATATTTTAAATAAATTACCAAAGGCCAGTGACTCTAGGTATACATTTCTGATAACCTGCTATTGGGTTCCCTATTAGTTAGTTTCTCCAAGAATTCTGTTTCTATTCTTCACAATTGAATATATCCTATTCTTTTCATTCTTGCTTTCCATTGTCCTGTGAATTTCATTCTTCACATTTTTGTGACCAGAACCTGGAAAGAAGTTGGCAGTGAGCTGCTACAGTCTATTGCAACACTGGAGGGAAGAGCCCACATTAAGAACTGCAACTTGCCACCCAATGGTAGTGGAGGAGAATTGGGCTTTGCCCGCTATGACCCTAAGGGCTGACCCTGGTAGGCATTCCCTGCTGTGATTAGCTGCTAACACTAAAATACCCTTATTTGCAGAGGCCTGACACACAGATTCTACCTGCCAACAGAAGTGGAGAATTGAGTTTTGTCTCAAACTCTGGTTTCATTATTTGAACCTAATGTGGAGCACTCTTCAGAAGGATGGGTAATACTTTCTGGCACAAGTTCTCCTTTGAGGTGCATTTTGATAAAGGAAATAAGAATGGGATATCATAAAGGTAAAGGGAACATCAGTAATGTAGAAGGAAGAGATTGAGAGCCAGAGTTGAGGGATGAATAAGGGAAGACAATGCAGTATAAATTCTTTAAAAATTATGTTATGTGCATATATAAATATACCACAGGGAATCTCACCTTTATGCATAAATAAAAAGAACCAATCAAATATAAATAAATAGATGAACATAGGAAGTCTAGTAGAGGAAAGAGAACAGGGGAGTGGAGGGAGGAATTGGAGGGAAAAGGGGGGTTAGAAGAGGGATCATGAACTGAAATTTAATTCCATGTATGAGTTTATCAGCATGAACCAACAATATATAACAATAAAGCTCTAATTAAAAAAAATAAGATACATTTTGAACCACTGGGATACCTTTGACCCTCATACCCTGAAGAAGCAGCACCTGATATATTTTTACGTACCCAAGGTTGGAGGATGGGGAAAAATGGCTCCCTGAGTAGTAAAGGTAAATGGGATTGATTCATAGATTAATCATTCTCAATTTAAGCCTTTCAGTTCAGAAAAAGACCCGACAATCAACACTTCCAGAGAGGAAAACACCAACCAATGTTCCTGTGAACCATTAAAGGATGAAATTTCTGTGCAAAAGGACCTGAGGGCCACCTGCATTTGCAGATAAGTAATGATAAAGAAATTCTAAACCAGGTGTTTAGAATGGCACATGCCTGAAATCTCAGCAACTTGGGAGGCTGAGGCAGGAGGATTACAAGTTCAAAGCCAGTCTCAGCAACTTAGCAAGACCCTTTCTCAAAACAAAAAGGGCTTGAGATGTGACTCAGTGGTCAAGTGCCACTGGGCTCAATCCCTGGTACCAAAACAAAAACAACAAAACAAAGGACATTCTGATTAGCCCATATCTTTGCAATTCTTCTCATAATGTTGCATTGGTGTATGTCAAGATATATACTTCCTAAAAGGTGGGATGGCTTTTCCCACACCGCTATAATATTATTTTATATTATATGAACATGGACTCTTCCCTTCTTAGCTCCTCTGTTATGATACTTAATGTTTGGCCTATGTTTACTGATTCTTCTTGTAAAATTTATTTCTTCTCACCTAGCATCTATCCAACTACACATTTTATAAATGGAATCCTAGAAGAAAAATCCAATCTAGGGCAGTGGTGGGAGTACAATAGCCATATTTCTGTAGAAGGACACTGTGTCCCTTTTCAGCCTAAGGTGGTATCATCCTTTTCCCCTAATAGTAGTTAGGGTCACTTCTTTAGAGCGAGGTATGAAGCCATCCAGGAGGAGCTGCAGAGAGGAGGCTTGAGTGGGCTGGAGCACAGGCCATGGCTAGGCACAGCTCACCATGCCAGTGTGGATCTGAGGTACAGCAAGCCAGGACTGAGGCAAACCAGGAATCACCAACCTGTTACACTGTGGCAGCTTGGACCCTTTCTGGTCCATATGCCCACTCCACACAGCACCACAGCGGGACCCTCCAAGCTTCCATGATCCTACCACCTCAACTTCCCACTTCCTGACCAAGGTTCAGAAAACAAAAGTGGGGCAGACACCTGAATGGAAGTTCAGATTCAAAAGTCACTGAGTAGCATTACTGCCTTTCCAAACTCTGATTGGCATTAAGACCAATAGTGTTGACCTAAATCCTAGACTAGCACACTCAGACCACTATTGAGTGCCCTCTTGGCTTTGCAAGAGTTGTTTCTATTCTTCACACTTGAATAAATCTTACTCCTTTTATTCTTCGATGGGGACAATGCTGAGAAGCATTTCACATCTAAGAAATGGTAATGAGGGCTATAGCAAAGTGTAGCAATCAGAGCTTCAAAGAATCACACACAAAAGTCAGACTCTATTTTCCAGGAAAATGATAGGCCCATTCTAAAATTCTAAGATTACTGAACTAGATGAGAAGCAAAAAATACCAATAGTGAGCTCAAAAGTTTGAAATCAAAATATGATAAATAAGAAACAGCAGCAGTTTCCTTATTTCAGAAATATTTTAATATAATCATAGTACAGTTATGAAGTCACATTCAATATATTCAATTGAATATATTCAAAGTATTAATAAAAATATTATACATCTTTCTTCACTATCCTAATATAATTAATGTATTTGGTTCTTATAGATGAGATTAGTTAAATTTATTCATATTCGCACTGCTAGTGAAACAGCATGTAAGTAAATCTATGGATTATAATAGTGGGGCTTCAATCCTTTTTGACCCTAAGTTTATCAAAAGTGTTTCTTTTTTAAATGACACAAACTTGAATTCTAGAAAGAACAGTTAAACAATTTAAGGCAAGATTTTGAAACTTTTATACAACCTGAATTTGAAAAAAGGAATACTTTATCAAAGATCATACATGCCTTAACATTTAAGTATTTATAGATTTATAAGGCAGTAATGAAAACTTCAGTGCCGGTTCTACACTGGGTTCCTCAGCAGAGAAAATAATAGGTTCTTGGGATGAACTATAATCTTCAGATCCCAAAATGCAAGAAGAAAGATTTCTTCTAGTACAAGACTTACATGCAGCAGAATTATTTTTACTCAATAAATTATAAAATATTGTCATTATGCAAATTAGTGTCTTTGCCAGTTTGTTTAGACTTTTGTTTTTCAGATTTACTTTAAGTTAAAAAAAAAAAACATTTAAAAATTTCAACTAATTTAGAATTGAGATAGTAGTAGTGCAAAGAGACTCCCCTCCTTTTTCTTTCTTGTTTTTTGTTTGTTTTGTTTTTTGGTATGGGCTGAAGCTTAGCATTTCACAAAGAAATAATTTATATTAAAATATAGGTGTTTTCATGACCAAAGAAGGCACAAAATGAGTTAAATTAAGAGAAAATATGACTATCATTCTGAACGCTTTAACTGTACAATATTAATCATAATATACACTTTTAGATCTGAATTCAGATTTCTTGTAATTGAAAAGTGACATCACATTTTCTAGTTCTATTTGTGCTTAAAAGACACTGCTGTGACAGAGTGCAAAAAAAGCAGTCGATATTAAGTCCAATAAACAATACCTTTTGACAAGATATTAGTATTTTTTTTAACAGTACTAATTGACAACTCATGGAATGGAATTAGGTCTCAAAAGCTTAAGTGAAAATTTCTAGTGCTACACTACATTTACAAAACTACTCACACACTTCAAGGAAATGTTAACTGTACGTGGAAAAAGCAAACAGTGGTGCTTTGATCTGCATTTTAATTAACTTAGTAAATATACAACACATTTTAACATTTTTAAAAAGACATAGAAAATCACACTCGTGAGTTTTCCAACAAATTACTTTTGTGGGGAGGGTGGGATGCTGGGGATCAAACCCAGGGCCTTGTGTGTGCTAAGCAAGCACTTTTCCACTAAGCTACAAACAGATCATTAGTGTTAGGCACCAAAAATTTCAAGTTTGTTATTTTAAAATGTTTATTTCTGCTCTGTAGGTATCATTCATATTAAACATTTGCATACTTTATAAAAATTCTGTTCTGGACAACTGAATTAGAGATTGTCTTTTCTCTCTTTGATACTCTTTACTGCATATTTTGTCAGTTTTCTCAGAAGGACCAGATTGCTGCATCTCTGTTACCATTTTAAAAGTATCTGAATTTCCATTCTAACCATGAAAGTTATTACATATATGTATTTATCTAAACAAAATTATGTCTGAAGGTGAACAGTAAAAAAATGAGTGTTATACTTAATGGTTATAGTGTAATAATTTCATTTCTATCCCTTATGATTTCTGAATCTCATTGTATGATGGAAAATAATTCTTATATGTGAACATACAATGTTTACAAATGTCAATTTATAAGATGAACTCTCATAAGATGTTTGGACCCTACAATCTTTGTCTGGTTCCTTTCTGTAAAGAGTCTATACTACTCACGGAGTTCTAACGCAAACAGGAATGGGCACAGGATTTTCACTTGCTTAATGACAAAGTAAATATATATGGAAGTGAAATTATCCAGGTTCAATTTACACCCCAAGGAGTTAAGTGTAGGATTATTATGGAATGATAGAATTTATTATACAAGTATATCAACGAATCTTATTCAGTACTGGGCAATGAAAACTTAAATGGATGGATGGTTAAAATAAGTAACACAACAGAAGCAAAGAAAATAATGTTTTTTTGGGAAAAACATCAGTAAATGTACACAATGTTTTGTCCTTAATAAACTAAAAGTGAAATTACTTGTTATTTATCAAGTCAGGAAAAAAATCAGAAATTAAGTGCCAGTGATGCATATAAAGTTAAGTAAGGCACCATTATTTACAACTTCAGCAATTGGCACTTATTCTGAAAAAGGCTTTAACAAATGAATAAAAAACTTCTATTTTGTATAAACTACTTAGTAGTTCTTAACATAGTTATCTATTATTTGTGCTTTGCTTTTCAGCCCTATGAATAGCAGCTGCATTTTACGGTAACATTCTGCATCTTTTCATTACTTTGGTGTTTGTGAACTTAAACAGTGGTAAAAGCTGTAAAAGGTGCATAACAGAAAAACAAATGTACTATGTCTATATAGGAAACAATGCAAAATGGATGGCTGAACTGATATAGTACTACTTCAAAAGTCTTTTTCAGGACTTATCAAGGTTAGGATTTGTAACATTTTAAATGACTTTAAAACAGTAATGGCTTCCTGAAATTTTTTATAAAATTTAGTTACCTGACTATTGGTCCAACTGATGTGTTAAAATACAGTAAGTATATTTAACTTTATAATTTTTGCACAAGTATAAAAATACTATACAAAGTTCACAAATCTTCATGCATTCATGTATACACACATTTATAACTCTTCTTGCTTCCAAATCTGAGAAATTCACTAGATTACAAGTAAGTTGCTGCAGTCAGCTGATACCATTTAACTGTTTCTTTGCTCAAGTTGAAATCTTTCAAAGGTAGAGTTATTCCACCCAAGAAAAAATTCTCCCGCAGAGATTCTGCACTGAGTACACTCAGTTGAAGTTCTCTTTGTCTTAGGGTTTCTTTGCTATATCCATTGTACACAAGCTATAGCAAAGGATAAAAAGAAAAAGTAAAATTACATATTAACATTTTTGATTTCTTGGAATACTTTCAGCAAAATGTGAATAATGAATGACATCATGATGATATGGTTTGCCTCAATATTTCAGAAGCACATTTTCTATTTCAGGAGTCTTGGGTTGCATTATTATTCCTGTGAATGTTTGATATAAGAGATGTTTAAAGCAGGACCAATCCCACTGGTTGTCTAAAAAATAAAAACTCGAAACATGTTTTTTTCTGAGATGGAGGTGATGGGGAAGGGAAAAGATATTACATGGCAGTTTCCTTAAGATGATCTAATACATGGGAAAAAAGGAAAAAAGGAAGAAACTTGGGAGGGATAGCATAATTAACAATTATTTTACAAAAACAGAGGGAAATTGTTTTGCTGTGGGTAGTAATGCAGTTGAACATAGGGCCTTGGGCATGCTAGGCAAGTGCTCTACCCAGCCCTTTATCTTTTGACTTATTAAACACGAATTAGGAAAAGTACTACTTATTAAACTGCTAAGGCTTACTTTGAACTGCCTCAGCCTCTTGAGTAGCTGGGATTACAGGCATGTACCATTGTGACTGACTAGAATTTTCTTTTTGTTATCTTTTTTTCTGTAGAATCCATGTACCATGAAGTTATAATTTTTCATAATTCAATATGAACTTCTCATAATTAAATATGAACTTTTAGTAAAACTGTAGTTTACAGCAAACCTAGAGTGCTGCGAAGCTAATTCTATATCAAATTCTCATCACAACATTTAGAATTTTAATTTTTCCATAAAGCCTCACCATAAATTCAAGAAACATCTCTTTAATCATAATTCTTATTGATTGGCTAAAACAACTTAAAAAAACCTGTCCACATTTCATTTTCTCTTTTTTTTTAAAGAGAGAGAGAGAGAGAGAGAGAGAGAGGGAGAGAGAGGGAGAGAGAGAGGGAGGGAGGGAGGGAGGGAGGGAGAGAGAATTTTTTAATATTTATTTTTCTTAGTTTTCGGCAGACACAACATCTTTGTATGTGGTGCTGAGGATCGAACCCAGGCCGCGCACATGCCAGGCAAGTGCGCTACCGCTTGAGCCACATCCCCAGCCCCCACATTTCATTTTCTTGACAGTATAACACTAACTAGGAAAAGTACTACTTTTCTGAGAATAATACCAATAGGTCTTTGCCAAGGATTGAATATGTTTTTAAAGAGAAAGCATCTTCTTAGGTTTTAATTTATAACCATGATGAAATTCAGATTTCCTTCCTATAGCTATCCAGACACTTCTGTACAGAAGTAACATTAAGGTATAAAAATAATGTGATTTATACAAAAGAAGTGGTTAAATAAAAGGGCAAGGTAGAGGGACTTCAGCAGATCTAAGGTTAGTGAACTTATTAGTTGACCACAAGTATCTCATCTAAGTCACAGTTATGCTCCATACTGTTAGCTGATGATTTTCTTACTGCTTTCTTTTCCTTCTTTTGGTATCAGTGATTGAACTTAGGGGCACTTAACCACTGAGCCACATCCCCAACCCTTCTTATGTTTTATTTTAGGATGAGGTCTCTCTAAGTTGTTTAGGGCCTTGCTAAGTTGCTGAGGCTGGCTTTGAACTCGAGATCCTCCTATCTCAGTCTCCTGAGTTGCTGGGTTTACAAGAATGCTGCACTGTGACCGGCCTACAGCTTTTGATTTTGAGCACTCTATATTAAGAGGGTTACTGAGAGAGATTCAAACACATTCTAAGGGGCTGGGAACATAGTTCAGTGATAAAGTATGTGCTTGTTAGTATACTGGTTCAATCCCTAGCACCAAATTAAATGAGATTCAAAGGAGAATTATTTTAAAACTATAACCTATCAGATGAAGGAGAGAATACTGAAAATGTTTTACTAGGAGGAGCATTTGAACTCCAATTATCTGAAGGGCTGCCATGAAGAAGGAAGAAAGGAGTAGTTTTCTGTGGCTCCAAGAGGTATAACTAAGATTCCACAGGTGATTATACGGCATCAAGACTTCAGCTCAGAGCTGGGGATGTGGCTCAAGCAGTAGCGTGCTCGCCTGGCATACGCGGGGCACTAGGTTCAATCCTTAGCACCACAAACAAATAAAAAAATAATAATAAAGATGTTGTGTCCACTGAAAACTAAAAAATAAATATTATTAAAAAAAAAGACTTCAGCTCAGTATAAAAAGTAATCTAAGGGGTTAAGAATATGGCTCTATGGCCTTGGATTGTGGTTCAGTGGTAGAGCATTCACCTAGCATGTGTGAGGTCCTGGGTTCGATCCTCAGCATCACATAAAAATAAAGAAAGAAAGAAAGAAAGAAAGATAGATATTGTGTCCAACCACAGCTAAAAACATAAATATTTTTTAAATATATTTCTTTATTTTTTAGTTTTCAGCGGACACAACATCTTTGTTTGTATGTGGTGCTGAGGATAGGATAAAACCAGGCCGCACGATGCCAGGCGAGCACGCTACCGCTTGAGCCACATCCCCAGCACACACTCCCCCCCCCCCCGCCAAAAGAATGTGGCTTTATGGTACACTGAGTACTTAGCATGCATGAGTCCTTTGGTTCAATCCTAGTACCTCAAAACAAATCTTAAAGTTGGTAGTTGCCCAGGACAAACTAGATAACTGAGAAGTATTTAAACACAAAAGCAATGAAGAACCACTGCTTGAGAATATTGTAGAGGAGGTTCATGCATTGGAAGGGAAATTCGCCTGGCATGCATGCGGCCCAGGTTCGATCCTCAGCACCACATACAAACAAAGATGCTGTGTCCGCCGAAAACTAAAAAATAAATATTAAAAATTCTCTCTTTAAAAATAAAATAAAATAAAATAAAGTTGTTGATAAACCTTTATTTATTTATATGTGGTGCTGAGAATCGAACCCAGTACTTCACACATGCCAGGTAAGTGCGCTACTGCTGAGTCACAGCCCCAGCCCTTTAAAATCTTTTTTTTTTTAATTTTTAGTTGTTGATGGACCTTTATTTTATTCATTTATTTACATGTGGTGCTGAGAATTGAACCCCGTACCTCACATGTGCTAGTCAAGCACTCTACCACTGAGCCACAACCCCAGCCCAATACCTAAAATCTTTACATTTAAAATATCTTAAAATTTAAATCTCAAAAAAACAAATCTAGGAAATTTTTAGAAATGATTTTAACCTACCATTTCATTGAATGTTGGATTCCTAGTTTTTCGTGAAATTTTGGTTTTACGTTTGGATGTCTTGTGGGTATCTGGAAGTAGGTATGTTTTGACATATGGATTTGGATCAGCCCCATCTTCAGTAACCTATAAAGAAAAGCAGTCCCTTAACAGTAATACTTTCTACTAAGGCATCAATTTCTTCTATAACCATCATTATTTGTGATCACTCACAAGATCTTTGATGTGCATCACCATGATGAACAGAGTACCATTTCGGTAAGAGACAGATAACTTCACTGCTCCTCCTATTTGGCCTGGAGTAGGACTGAAGGGACCTGCACCTGAAAATACAAATATTTTTCTCCTTATTTTATCCTGCTTGCAATGGTTTAAGCTTCAACAAAACAATTTTGCTTTACTTCCAGAACCTCTGCATGTGGGTTGGGGAGACATACAGTGGAGGAAAGTAAAGAACCTGGTAGGTCACTGGAAAGTTAACTTTATCCAGAAGTAGACTGGCTTAAAAATACTCTCTTCCCATTCTCATGGACCAGCAGACCACCTGTCACTCTACCACATTCACTGAGAAGTTAGATTTGCAGGCCATGAATTACCAACAAAGAGAAAAAAGTAATCTCACCTGCAGACCTAGCTATTCCTTCAGCTTTCTCATCACGAATTAAAGGGTGGAAAAAAGTACAAACAAGATCACACTAAGATTGAAGAGAAAAAAGATTAATTAGTTTTATGGGGCACAAAGGATATATTATTATGTTATCACTTATTACATAGGAAGCTTACCTCTGCTACATCTGTTGAAGCACTCATCAAATTCTGTAAATAACTGTTCAACTCAACTTTCCTCTTGGCTGCTACATCTTTTATGTGTGTTCTTCCTAGAACCATCCTATTAGGAAAGCTATAAAATAAAATAAAATAAAAGGTGGAATTTGCCAGGTGTAAGTGGCACATGCCTGTAATTCCAGCAGCTCAGGAGGTGGAAGATCCAAAGTTCAAAGCCAGCTTCAGCAATTTAGCAAGGCGCTAAGCAACTCAGTGAGGCCCTATTTCTAAATAAAATACAAATTAGGGCTGGGGATGTGGCTCAATGGTTGAATGCCTGAGTTCAATCCCCAGTACAAAAAAACAAAAGTGGAATTAAAATTATTTGATCTGGGGGCTGGGGACGTGGTTCAAGTGGTAGCACACTTGCCTAGAATGCATGAGGCACTGGGTTCGATTTTCAGCACCACATAAAAATAAAGATATCCTGTTCACGTAAAACTAAAAAATAATATTAAAAAATATTTGATCTGGAAATATTTATAGAATCAAGTACAATGCTTCCTTACAAATATGCTTTTTTACATACTTCTTTTTCTCCCCCCCCCACCCCGCCCTATGGGGACTATACCCAAGGGCACTTTATCACTGAATTATATCCTCAGCTTTTAAAATTTTATTTTATTTTTTGGGGTACCAGAGATTGAACTCAGGGGCACTCAACCACTGGGCCATATCCCTAGCCCTATTTTGTATTTTATTTAGAGATAAGATCTCTCTGAGTTGTTTAGCACCTCACTTTTGCTGAGGCTGGCTTTGAACTTGAGATCCTTCTGCCTCAGCCTCTTGAGCTGGAAGGATACATGAGTGTCACTGTTCCTGGCTTAAATTTTATTTTTGAGACAGGGTCTCACTAAGTTGCTGAGGCTATCCTCAAACTTGAAATTCTCCTGCCTCAGCCTTGCGAATTGCTGGGATTACAGATGTGCAGTATCATGCCCTGCTACTTCTTTACATACTTCAGGATAAAAGTGGATTCTTAAACAGTTATATAGTATTTTTTTCTGTAATTTATCTTCAAAGTACAAGAGACAAAACAATTCAATTAGCCATTTTCATTTTCTACTATTTCTTCTCAACTTTAATCATTCACAAATATTTATCAAATCTGGTCTCTGAAAGAATCATTACTTAATCAACCACAGCCATTGTAAGCATCAATAGAATCCCCAAATAATGACAGGGCCTAAATCAGGTACTGAAAGGATAATCTCTTTGGTGGCAGTAGAAAGAAAAGACTACATATGGAAATTAATACTAATACCACTTTGCCTCTGTTACTTTTGAAATTTAGTCTGAAAAGAATTTGAACAACTTGACACAAGAAATCTGTTCATTAAGCCACTATAAAACTAGGTTTCCAAAGGGTATCAGATTCAAAACTAAGCCCTAAGATTGTGATTAACAGTTTTAGTGATATCTTTTTTAGTTTGTTAGTTATCAGAGGAGCTCAGTATGGCTCATAATTATCTCTGTAGTGATTCAGCAAGAGACTTTTTAAAATCAATATTACAAATTATCTTCTGTTGCTTGATATTGTAGAAACAACAAAGTCAAAAGCTTCAACTAAAATTAGGAGTTTGGAGAATTCCATATTTTAAGATCTTGATTAGGGTTGGGGATACAGCTCAGTTGGTAGAGTGCTTGCCTCATATGAACAAGGCCCTGGGTTCAATCCCCAGCACCACAAATAAATAAATTAAATAAAGGTATTGTGTATCTATTAAAAAAAAATCTTGATTACATAGACCTTTTTTTTCATTCAACAAAAACTTACAGCTCCTTGTCTATGTCAAGTTCTGTATTAGGCTCTCATGATACAAAAGAAAACAAGCCAGATATTGTCTATAGTATCTAAGTGCTAACATAAAGCTTTTAGCTGCATTTGAGAAAAATTGTTTCCTAAAAAAAGAATTAATTTGTACAAGAATGGGAACATACCCAGGTAACTTCCAAAGTGGAAAAATAATACTGAGCTTATTGTGAAGTTCCTGAAACTCGTCAAATGTCCGGAATACAAATGATGGTTCAAGCTGTCCTTCTCTCAAAATTCGGACTACATAAATCTGAGAAGAAATCACACAACAAGTAGATTAAATTTATAAGAAACTTCCTTTCCTGACAGAAAAAGAAATTTATAGTCCAAGTGCTTTTATTGGTAAAATATGCCAACAACAAGAAATAGCAAATATGCCATTGTATTTATAGTACATAAACTGCATTCTAAGAGTGATAATAGCAGGGCATGGCAGTGCTACCCTATAATCCCAAGTACTTGGAAGGCTGAGGAAGGAGGATTAAGAAGTTCAAGGCCAATCTGGGTAATTTATGGAAACCCTATGGTAGAGTGCCCCTGGGATCAATTCCCTGTACTAGGGGGGAAAACACTGGTGACCATAACCATTGTGAGGTATATAAACAAGAACTTGAAAGTAAAAGCCATTTTATTTACAGGATTAAATGTAATAAATTTACTTTCCAAATCTATAAAGTTAGTGCATTTCCAGTAAAAATGGTAAAAAGTTAAGAAAGCAAATAGGAAAAAGGAAAATAAAACAACTATGGGGTGGGTGATGAACATTTAAACTATTAAACTATTATACTCAAAGAGTATAATACCAGTACAGAGAAGTAGATATATCCATAGAAATCAGAAATAAATTCAGGGATAAGCATTTATATAAACTAGAATTAAAGGTGCCATGATAAATCATAAGGAAAAAAGTACTATTCAATAAGATGGTTAAAATAATGAATTTCTAAAACCTACCAATTCATCAAAAAATTTAAAAACTGAGTGCTGATAAAAACATTAACACAAGAGGTGGGTGTGTTAAATCAGTGGTAGTGCTTACATAGGCACAAAGCATTGGATCTGATCTTCAGCACCACAAAAATGAGTGAATGAATACATAAATAAATAAATTTAGCACAAGGGTGAAAACACTACACATGATAATGTATATTATATCATGTATAATATATCACATATTCTCAAGTGGGTAAAAAATATTATTTTTATTTAAAAACAAATTGTGTAGCTGTGTGTGCTATAATACTTTATTAGAGGGTAGAATGGGAGCTTAAAACTTTTTGATTTGATTTATATTGCTTAAAATATTATAATTAGCAAAATTTACCTCTGAAAAAATTGAAGGAATGAGAAAGCAGAATAGCATTACTCTTTTAGCCCTCATAATTTTAAAGCACCTTTAACAAGAAATAAATGTCAAATACCAATAAATACCATATAAATACCACAAAAAATTAGGGATGCTTCAGATACATTTATTTTTGGCCCACCCGTGGATGATATGAGCATGAACAGAACAAATCCCTGGAATTCTAGCAGAAGGGCATATGAAGGACAACAATAATGCATGCACAATCGTCTACCTAAAACCAAACTTACATAGTGTTTATCGGGGTTGTATTTCTTATGATATGTGAAAACAGAAACTTCCTTGATTCGACCATCTTGTCTAAAAGAGTATGTTTTGGGTGAAAATGAAAGGATGGGCTCATCATTAGAAGGAAGACCAGAAAAACGTAGCTGAGCAAGATTGTGAATGAAGAAATTAAACTTTGTGGCAATGCTTCCCAAACTTGATTCAATCAGCCTGCAAAATAATCAGAAAATGCGTTAACAGCAAATCTCCATGGAAACATATGCTAAATTCTTTCAACATAATATCATATGAAAATACTTTCATTTCTTTTTTAAAAATATTTTTTTAGTTGTAGATGGACACAATACCTTTATTTTATTTGATTTATGTTTTTATGTAGTGCTGAGGATCAAACCAATGCCTCATGCACGCGAAGCAAGCACTCTACCCCTCAGCTACAGCCCCAGCCACCATTTTTATTTCTTTTAAAATATTAAGCCCATTCTCACTCTGCCAAGGATTCCCTGTGTTCTTTAGGCCAAAGACTTGTTAAAATATATCTCACCCCAACAAAAAAATTTTTACCACCAGAAAGAAATGACGCTTTTTGGAGGAAGGATTGAACTCAAGAGCCCTTGACTACTGGAGCCACATCCCCAGTCCCATTTTATATTTTATTTAGAGACAGGATCTGAGTTGCTTAGCACCTCGCTAAGTTGCTGAGGCTAGCTCTGAACTCCCAATCCTCCTGCCTCAGTCTCCCAAGCGGCTGGCCTTATAGATGTGAGCCACCACACCAAGCTTATTTTTCTGAGCCCTATGAGGCGCAAGACTAATTAAAGAGCTATTAGGAATAGATGATAACAGATAATTCTAAAAAGATGACTTTGCTATTTTATTATAAAAATCCAAATTTAAAAAATTATGTCAAATAATAGAATGTAGAATTTGGTGTCAGATTTCTTTTGGATAATCACAATTTCATTCATTTAGGAAAAAAAGATAAAATGGAGAGTTTGGCAGATATAATTTGGAAAGTAGGCCTGGATAAAACATTTCAGATAAGTAGATAAGATTCAGAAACTGGGTTAAGGAACCCAGAGAATAAGAGATTCAGAGAAGCATAAGAACTTCCAACACAGGTTTTTGCCTTGCTGTGGACTTGAATGTTTGTGTTCCCTAAAATTCCTATATTGAAACCCCAACCTCACCGTGAATATATTTGGAAATGGGGCCTTTAAGGAGGTAATTAACGTTAAATAAGGTCATTAGGGTGAAGACTTGATCCAACAGCTGTGTCCTTATAGGAAAAGATGAGAGAGAAAGAGAGAGACACACAGACATACAGATACCCACACACAAACTATGTAAGGACAAAGCAAGAAAGTGTCATCTTCAATCTACAAAGGGAATCCTCATCATAAACCTAGTCAGCTGGCTTCTTGATCTTGAACTCTGAGATAATAATAATGGCAATTTTGTTATAGAAGTCCAAATAGACAAATGCATGCCTGTTTTGTAGTCTTGCCTAGGGGAGCCAATGAATCTCTTTCAAAATATAAAACAAAGTCAGTCAATACCTAAATTGTCAGGATTTGTTCAGAAGGCTATACAATAGTCAGCTCACTTCAATTCAGTTTGGCCCAGATTGCTAAGATTAGGGAAGTCCAGGGTAATATTACAGAACTCCTCTCCACCAAGAGGAAGAAAGCAAGAAAAAAAAAAGAGGGAAAAGAATGTGAGCTCAGCCAGGAATGACCGCACATAACTATAATCCCAGTGACTTGGGAGACTAAGACAGGAGGATTGAAAGTTTGAGGCCAGCCTAGATACTGTGTTTGGGCATGGAATGTAGCTCAGAGGTAGAATGTTCCTGGGTTCAATTCTCGGGAACTGGAGAAATTGGGGGGGGGCACAGAACATGACCTCATGTGTCCTTTCCCGGTATGATTTTATGATGTTATGGCAGCAGTACCTAGTGACCAACCAGGTTACCAGACTTTGAGAACATATTTGCCAGGAAGATCTGCTTTTAAGGCAATAATAATACAATCAAATGCCCCACTGGCATATGTGTTTCAAGTACTATGTCACACAGTAATAGTTTACTAAGGGCATTGTCCCAGAGTTTGCTGTTTTAAGCACTTAGGGTATCTGTGAGAACTGTTAAGGTAGAATCCTGAAAAACAGATTAGCACAGAAGTTCAGAAAGAAACCTGAAAGAGGTACTTGGTCCTGTAGGAAACATGCTTCTTAGAACTAGTTTATAAATAGAATTTTATAACTGGGTCCATACATTAAATAACTTTGAGACAAATTATTTTTAAAAGACTATTGCAAATCATTCACATTACTTCAGTAAGTAAACTTTTTTTTTTTGCTTGCAATGCTGATGATTACTCAGGGCCTCATATGGTAGGCCTGTGCTCTATCACTGAGCTACCTCCCCAGCTTAAATAAATTTTGACACCTATTATTTGCTAAATACTATGAATCATAATTTTTCCCTCTAAATCAGATTTTTGGTAAATAGTATTTGTTTAAATTAGGTAAAGATAATATTTAATTTAAAGGTAAATTAAAAAGGTAAAGGGCTTGCTAGCATGTGTGAGGCCCTGGGTTCAATTCCTCAGCAATGCAAAACAAACAAAGAAAGGTGAAACAAATCAAAGCCAAATTACATGTGTCTTCAACAATATACTTAAATATACCATACCTAGTGAAAAAAATTGTAGCTTCTGCATCTGTGGTTTGGGGTTGAAGAGCATCTCTAACATATTTCAAGTCCTGAACACTTGTAAGTTCTGGTAACCCTGAAGGAATCATCTGTAGGAGAACAAAAAAAAGTTATGTGAGTTAAATTTTCTGCTGATCAAGTATTTAGAAATAAAGCAAACAAAAATAATCACAGTTTTGAGAAATCTGTTATTATTTAGGGGACCTAAGTGATTCTCTTACAAATGAGAAAATCTACGCAAAGGAAGTCAAATGACTTGATGAATCACAAAGCATGTTTATGAATAAAAGTTATGAAATCCAGACCTCTTTTTGTTTAGGCCTCAGATTCTACTACCACATCAATTTTAGTCAAGATAATCATAGCACAGGTTATTTTTTTTCATCTTTTACTTAAGTATAATACATATCCACAAAAGTACAGAAATTCTAAAAGTACATACAGCTTGATGAATGTTCACAGTCTGAACACACCCCAGGTCAAGACACAAAATATTCACCAGGCTTCCAGATGTTCCTCATAGGCTTTATTAACAACTTCTCCTCATTCTCTGAGTCACTACTCAGTTGACTTATCTCTTACATTTTACATAAATGGAGCCATACAGGATATACTCTAATATTTTTTAAATGTTTGCTTATTTGACATAGCTATAATTTTATAATATTTCAGTTAATAATAAAGCTGACATTTGTGACTACAGTAAACTTTATTCCAAAATCACAAAATATCCTTTTTTTAGGTATTATAACACAAATGCACTTATAGAAAATTAATTAAATGCTTTTAAAGAATGGAGTTACCAGTGAAAGTAGGTTAAGAAAGAGGTTTGTTTGCTTTCTTATCAAGTTGTAGGCCTGACAGCAAAGGTCCACAAATAATTGGAAGCGAATGGTTGGCTTTTCACCCCCATTGATGACATATGCCATATCAGACGTAAGCACAAAAGGAGCTCGATCCCTGTTTAAAATGAAAGAACACACAGAATATTATTATTTTTTTAAAATTTTTTATTTGTTTTAATTAGTTACACATGACAGTTCAGTGACCTTGACATATCATACATTTGAATGAGATGGGATAGAATTTCAACACCCAGAATATTATTTACAGTAGATATGTAAGTAGTGCTATTGCTGTTGCATGATTATTAAACTAAGTCATTTGAACTACTGCAATTTCCAAGTAGGAAAGGTATCAGGAAGTTTTGAATTTCTATAATTCTTGAATATTCACATTTTCAGAAAAGCCAAGATATAATATTTTCATTACTTAGACAGAAGTTATATGTGAAATTTTATCCAAGATGATATTTATAAATTTACATACCTAAAGAGAGATCTAACAGTATGTACAAACATACAGAAAGAAGTTATGAAAATGAACTACTTCTAATAGCACCACAACTATATATAATAAAATACACAACAATTCATTTCAACGAAGTTTACATACACACTCACAATTGCCTATTATGTGGTAAAGTTATCTCTCAGGGACTTTTCATCCTTAATTAGGCTCAAAAAGAGCCACAAAGTAAAGCATAGGAAAGGGCAAGGTTTGAGCCATTAATTTGTGACACAAGACATGTGTCTTTTCTTTAGTAAAAGTAATATTAACAATATAATATTATACCTTTTGAAGCTACCAAACATCTGTGCATGGCCCAAAAACTTCCCAAAGTCAATGTGGAACATATGTCCTGTACTTCGAAGCATTATATTATCATTGTGTCGATCACAGATGCCTAAAACATAGGTAGCTACACAGCATCCAGCACAAGAATAAATAAAATTTTCAGAAGCCTATAATAAAGATAAAAAATTATATTAAGAAAAAATTATTTTTATTTGATTTATATGTGTGTGTGTATACACACACACACACACACAATTATTTTTTAGTTGTTGAGGGACCTTTATTTATTTATTAATTTATATGTGGTGCTGAGAATCAAATCCAGTGCCTCACACATGCTGGGCAAGAGCTCTACTGCTGAGCCACAACCTAGCCCCGAAAAAATAATTGTTATAGGAGACAATGTTTACCAAGATTAAAGTAGTTCATCGCTCTTTAAAAACACAATCATTCTAGGCATGGCATCTGCCTGTAATCCCAGTGACTAGGGAGGCTGAGGCAGGAGGATCACAAGTTCAAGGCTGGCCTCAACAATTTAGAGAGATCCTAACTTAAAATAAAAAATAAAAAGGGTTGGGGAAGTAGCTCAGTGGTCAAGTGCCCCTGGTCAATCCCTAGTACAAAAAACAAATAAACAACAACAAAAAAGTAATCTACTTTCTCGGCTTGTATAGGTTATAATAATAAAAACCAGCCTTTTCATATTTCAAAAACAAAGCCACTCTAGCTTTTTTCTTCTACAAGGTAGAGATCTTGCTATTCCCTACCGTGAACAGCTTTGAAACACCATGTTTGTGGAACCCTGCTCCACATACCCTTGTGCTCCTTACCACAAGAAGCATTACTGGGACAAAAATTAATCTAAATTGTGAAACAAAGTCAGCTCAGGGGCTGGGACTCTAGTTCAGTGGTAGAGGACTTAACCTAGCAAGCCTGAGGCCCTGGGTTAGATCAATAGGGGTAGGGGAAAGAAAGTCAGTTTATACCTTGAAACATTCAATAATAACAATTACTGTATTTTGTGACTTCCTAATGTGTCATCAGAAAATTTCTTGAAGGTAAACACCTTATTTCACTTCAGTTCTGCATGTCCTAGGGACTACTAAAATTACTAATATCATACAGATACAGCAAGATACATATAATGAATATTTTTACATTTTATTCTCAAAATACTGTATTTCTGAGGGCTCAGTCATATGGCTATACTTGTCCATGTGGTTAAATTTTATTCTATAATCCTCCAGAATCATTAACAAAGATGATGATGTGATAACAGCAGGAGTCTAGCACAAACCAAGTGCACAAACCTTTCTCTGTTTACATTAGCCTATTTAAAATCTCACAACAAACCAATAACTCAGGTGTTATTATTACTGTCATTTTACAGATGAGAAAAACCGAGACAGGTTAAGTCATCTACCCAAGATTACATAATTGGTTAGGACCAGGATTTAAATCCAATGTGTCTCCATTATGCTATATTCCTTTTAACATATTAAATCATATAAAATGCACAAAAGTTACTTAAGATATGCTACTTGACAATTATTTTGTTTCAAACAACTTACCAAGAATCACAAAAGAGATAACATTACTATGAACAAGCACTGACCTCTGCTGTATTGCTTCCTCCAGACCACAAAGAAAGAAAAGGGAATAATCTTACAGTTTTAAATGACCCACAAAGGAAAAAATTATCTGCTTTACCCACATAAGTCAACAGATGGTACTTTCATATCCAAAAGTGATACAATAGCCAGGGCATGGTGGTACATGCCTGAAATACGAGCAACTTGGGAAGCTGAGGCAGGAGGATCTATAAAAATTTGAGGCCAGCCTTAGCAATTTAGTGAGAACCTCGGCATCTTAGCCAGACCTAGTCTCAAGATAAAAAAATTAAAAAGGATATGTAGTTAACTGGTAAAGGGCCCCTGGGTTCGATCCCTAGTACCACAAAAAGAGGAAAGAAAGGAGAGGAAAAAAAAAAAAAGATGTGACAGAATAATGGTATATAAACTAAGCAGCTAAATGACATTAAAACTGGGATCTTCTATCACTATGCAAGAGTTCATGGGTCATTAATTTTTTAATTAGTTATACCCATGGGTCTTTCTTAAGCCAAGTTTAGTATCACGACTGGCCTATATCCTAAGAGATTACTCCTTTTTTTTAGCAATTTTTAAAAATATTTATTTTTTTGTTTTAGGTGGACACAATATCTTTATTTTTATGTGGTGCTGAGGATCGAACCCAGTGCCTCACTCATGCCAGGGCAGCGCACTACCACTTGAGCCACATCCCCAGCCCCGAGATTGCTCTTTTTGATATGTAATTCAAATTAATACTAATACAAAAAAAAAAGATACTCCCAATAATACAATTTTCTCTGTTGTGTGTTCTCTCATGCTCTCTTGTACATGCTCTTCCTCTCTTTATATACACATGCAATACACTCATTTAATTCTCACAATAACCTTATGATACTATCATTTTTACAGTCATAGTATAGTATATACAATAATACCATAATATAAACTAAAATAGTTTACAGCAGAGTTCATTGAGGAACAAAGAAGTTAAATAACTTGCCTAAGGCCCTGTAGCCGATGAGTAACTTGGGGCCTGCATTTAAGCCCAGAGGCTAGCCCATAATATATGCTCATAAGTACAAACCATTTAGCTGTTCTTATTCATTTCTACAACTTCTTCCAAGGTCTTAGAAAAGCATAACATTCTGAGTTATAAAAATACCACTGGTTTGGTGACCTTTAAGTACATGTTTACAATATTTTGAAGGTAATTTAGCTTAAATTCACTTATATTCCTGCCATTGAATTCCATCAGTTTTATATTCTTTCTATACCTACAGAAAGACATTGTTTTCTTGACTTTATTCTAAACAGTTACTCTCCAGAATTGTACAAGGAACTCAAAATCTTTGTAATACATTTTTGACAAAGTTATTAAGAAATAGAGACATGCTAATCACCTTTTCATATTCTTCCTCAGAGGGATTGTATTTCCTCAGCCATTCTGCAAGTGGTTTATCCTTAAAGGATCCAGTCACACCATATTCCACTTGGATTTTTCTGAGGGTATCTGAAGCAGGAACTAGTTCCACCATGCCTTTAACAATAAAATATTAAACTATGTGAAAACATCTCCCAAAATTAAGCCTTTTAAAAATTTACAGCTAAAAAAAAAAAAATTACAGCTTTCACTGGGTATGGTGGTGCACACCTGTAATCCCAGTGACTCATGAGGCTGAGACAGAAAGATGACAAGTTCAAGGCAACACAGTGACTTTGACTCAAAAAAAAAAAAAGGCTGGGGATGTAGCTCAGCAGTAAAGTGTCCCTGGGTTTAGTCATCAGTACCAAAAGAAAAAAAAAAAACCAGAAAATTACAGTTTGAAATCTTGGGTAGAAGGCATCAACTAGCAACTATCAGTTTCAAAGAAAATCAAGTCTGGCAGGGTATGCTAAAAAAAGTAAACAATCATATTGTTTTGTATTTCCAAAGTATCCAACATGTTGATTTTTTACTATATGAGACTCTATAGTCTATACTCACGTGCTAATTCCCAAGGGATAATAATTTTGATTACAAACTAGATGATAATAACTTCACTGGTAAAGTTACTTACAGATACATAATGTTCCATTTCAGCATGAAAAACTGTCTCTCATTGTGTATTTGGGAAGAGTATTTCAGAGAATATTAGGCCCTTTCAATGGGATGAACAGATTAAGACCATCCTTGTTATATACTTAAATCTCAAATATATGTTTTGTCTTCCCAACGAAAATGTTGCTGGCTTGGTAAACTGTTTTACCTTATCTCTGCAATTCCTTTAAAACAAGTTATCAAATAAATAAATTATGGCATATCTATACAATGGACTATAGTGAGGTGGGTCTCTATATCCTTAAGTAGGACAGTCATTAAAATAATGCTTTAAAACTAAAATCCAGATGGAGAACTGTAATGCTTAAAAAGAAAAACTGTTGGAACATATATAAAATAGTTCTTGAAGACTATGTAAATGGTAATACCTTGTGAGCACGATGCCTAGAATTAAGAATAGAGAGGTATGGAAGAAAACCAACATTTACTTTTACTTAATTTACAAATTACATAATTTATATATTTTTAAATGAAGGATATATATATTTGTGTTAAAAAATAAATGACTGGAGTTGGACGAGTGGCACAGGCTTGTAATCCCAGCAGCTTGGGAGGCTGAGGCAGAAGGATTGTGAGATCGAAGTCAGCCTCAGCAAAAGCAAGGTGCTAAGCAACTGAGTGAGACCCTGTCTCTAAATAAAATACAAAATAGGGCTGGGGATATGGCTCAGTGGTTGAGTGCCCCTGACTTCAATCCCTGGTAGCCCTCCCCCACCAAAAAAGACCTGGAAACAAAGATCTGCTTCAGATAAAGAGAGTGGAGGAAACCCAAGTTGACCAAAGCCTCCAAGGACACCATGAAAGAAAGTATGCAAGGCCAAGTTCTAATTCTAGATTATATTTTGGGTGTATCATCTAATTTACAGTTCATAGTGACAACATTTTTCAATGAGTGCCCCCAATTTTAATTCTATGTCTGATGATTATGTACAAAACAGTGAATCAATGTGTGTAAAATATACAAAGTACTAGATACACTCCCTGATCAGACAACAGATCATCAATCCAATGGGGAAGATATAAAACAGGCAGAAAGTAAAACTAATATAAAAGTTAATAAAAATTAATATAAAAAACTAATATAAAATTAATGTCTGGTGACTACAGAATAAAACTGCTCAGTTTAGACAAAAGAGACAGTGGTATAGGCTGAATTGCTTGTGAAAAGCTTCACAGAGGATGTGTGTTGTGATTTCTTTTTCTTTCTTTCTTTTTTTTAAGTTGTCAATGGATTTTAATTTTATTTATTCATATGCGGTGTTGAATCCAGTGCCTCACAAATGCTAGGCAAGCACTCCGCCACTGAGCCACAACCCCAACCCATGATTTCTTCATTGAGAAATAAGGATACAAGTTGGGTGCAGTGTCACACACTTGTAATCCCAGCAACTTGCGTCACTGAAGCAGGAGGACTCCAAGTGCTAGACCAGACTCAGCAAATTAGTGAGACATTGTCCCCAGAAATAAAAAGGGTTGCTGTGCAGCTTAATAGCAGAGCACCCGTAGGTTCAATTCCCAAAAATACAAAGAAAAAAAAAAAGAAAAAAAGAACGAAGGATACAGTGAAATAATACAAGTAGAAAGCTTATCACAGGATAAGACACTTAAGAATTTCAAAATGAGAATGAGGAAGTCCAAATACAGAAACAAAATATGGTAACAACAAAAAAACTTAATCTAATTGAGATGATAAGCTTGTACTGAGAAGTCTTTACTTGATAAATAATTCACATTTATATGAAAATTAATCAAGAATTCTTTTTTTTTTAAATTTAACTTTTATTCATTTTTAGCTAGAATTATTTTTCTTTTCTTCTTCTTTTTTTTTTTTGGTGGTGCTGGGATTGAACCCAGGGCCTTATGCATGCAAGGCAAGCACTCTACCAACTGAGCTATATCCCCAGAATTCTTAAATTGACTTGATTTCCTAATCTTTTTTTTTTTAAAGCCTCCCTTTTTTCAGAAGGTGATTTTATGAGAGAGAATTTTTTTTAATTTTTTAAAATATTTATTTACTTTTTTTAGTTTTCGGCGGACACAACATCTTTGTTTGTATGTGGTGCTGAGGATCGATCCCATGCCTCACGCATGTCAGACTTGCGTGATACCGCTTGAGCCACATCCCCAGCCCTTGATTTCCTAATCCTGACAAGATAAAGTCTGCACATCTAAATTTGAGCAAGTAAGGTTATAGACTCTAATGTCCTGATGGATACGAGAGAGAAATATGGAAGCGGGTGATAATACAATGAAGACAAGTAATTAAGCAAAATATCATACTTGAGGACCAGGGAGGTAGCTCTGTGGTAAAGCACTTGCCTACCATGAATGAGGCTCTGGGTTGGATCCCCAACACCACATGCAAAAAAAGAAGAAAAACAAAACAACCTAAATTGTACTTGAGGTAGCAATCACCCCAAGGGAATTTTCTCGTGGCACACCACCAGGACTGGTCCTTTGGCTTTTCCCAATGACTTAGCAGAAGCTATGGAATATATGTTCTTTAAGTTCATACAAACTAAGAAGTTCAATAACAGATGGTAAGAATGAGAGTTTACGCCAGGCATGGTGGCACACGCCTGTAATCCCAGTGGTTCATGAGGCTGAGGTAGGAAGAGTCTGAGCTCAAACCCAGTGCCAGCAATGGTGAAGCACTAAGCAACTCAGTGAAATATGTCTCTAAATAAAATACAAAATAGGGCTGGGGATGTAGCTCAGTGGTCGAGCATCCCTGAGTTCAGTCCCCAGTACCAAAAAAAAAGAATCAGAGTTTACTTATTTTTTTAAGTTGAGTGAGTGTGTGTGTGTGTGTAGTACTAGGAATTGATTGAACCCAGTGCTGAGGCTCAAGCACTTTCCCACTGAGCTACAACCCTAATCCTAGGATCAGATTTTAAAAGGAATCAAAGAAACTGAAAAGCAGTGGATCAAATATAACAAAGTTAATAGTTAATGTCCTACACGTGAGTCTAAGACACAAAATGTACAAGAATAGAACAGTCAGAACATGACTTAGGAGCTACTATCATGAAGACTTATTGGTTTTAGTTGTATGTAACCTTTACGTGTGAGGCACTTTGCCCACTCTTTTGTATTCTTCCAAATTCAGGTGTCTCTCCTAGAATGGATTGCTTGAACCCTTTTACGAGGAAAACAACCAGGTGATAAGGTAATTTAAAGTCATCTATGATAAATAGCTAAAGAATGCAGAACTCAAGATCTGAGGCCACAATACTAGCAACCTTTAATGAGGGATCCAACTTAATTATATAATATTCTATGAAGAGATCTGGAATCAATGGGTAAAAGATATCAACAATCAGTCCTAGTATTCAATTGAGTACAAGAAAGAACTTTACAGCTATCACTTATTCTGGATAGGATCAACTGCCTTGGACTGCAATGAATTCCCTTCACTGTTAAGTATTTAAGTACAAACTTAATGGCAAATATTAGAAGGATGTCTAGATGAGGTAATATTTCAGGTGACTTCATAGTATTCAAAAAACTATTTGTTCAATAATAATAATGAAGGCAGGTGTGGCGGCACGTCTGTAATCCCAGCAACTCTGGAGATTGAGGCAAAAGGGTTCCAAGTTCAAAGCTAGCCTCAGCAACTTAGCAAGACCCTGTCTCAAAAATAAAAAAAAAATAATAAAATAAAAAGGACTGGGGCTAGAGTTATAGCTCAGTGGTAGAGTGCTTACCTCACACTGTGAGGTACTGGGTTCGATCCTTAGCACCACATAAAAAAATAAATAGATAAATAGATAAAGATATTGTGTCCATCTTTTAAAAAAGATAAATAAAAAGGACTGGGGATGTGACTCAGTGGATAGGTACTCATGGGTTCATCCATAGCACTAAATAAATAAACAAATAAATAAATAAAAAATGATGATGATGACTGCCATTTAGTGAGCCCATAATACATAAAAAGTAAAAATCTGCTCTTAAAAAACTTTTCAAATTACTCTTTTATTCTGTAGAACTGAAACAAAGTTGGTTTCACTTAGATATGGTTTTCTTTTTAGTTCGAAAGCTAAAGTCTATAAAGTCCTCCTTGAGTTAATTAATAGATACCTCTGAGAACTACAAAGCATTTATTAGGGTATACACTGAATTGTATTTTTAAAGCAAGTAATCATTAACAATTGAATGAATAAAGTAACACTAGATTAAAATAAGAAACAAGAGAAGCCATGGTGCCTCTGTATCAGGACCTTTTTTTTTTTTTTTTTTTTTT